ATTCCCCAATACTTCATGGCTTTCACAAAGTACTCCACTAGACTTGGGCATTGGGCAGTGCTTGTTGTACCACCAGCCTAAGATGCCTTTCACTCTTGGATGTTTTTAATTTAAATTGACTGTGCGCCACCTGGTCGGCCACTTTGAAATCACTCGCTTAATCTTTGAATTGTCCTCTTCTCAGTTTTTCTACCATTTAAAATGTTGCAAGGCAAAAGGATGAACTGTTTTTTTTTCTCCAAAATCTTTCTTTACAGCGGATAAGAACGAGCTTATGAAGGAGAGGATGCGATTAGAAAAAGAAAAGAAGAATGGAAACAAAGGACAGGAGCCCAAAGCACAGAAAAAAAGAAAGCATCCTGAAGGAGACAAGGAAAACCAGAAAAAGAAAAAGAAGCAGGAGTCAACAGAAAGTGCTAAAGAAAAGGAGCAGGCTGTCCAAAACAAGGAAGAGAAAAGGAAGAAGAAAGAACAGGAGCAAGAAAGACAGAAGATGACGCTGGAAGCAAGAAAGGCCCAGGCTATAAGTCGATGGGTTGCTTCTACAACAGCAACTACACACAATGATGAGGTTACAATTGTAAATGATTCACCCAGCGTCACTTTCACACCCCAACCACTTCGCCAAGTCAACTCTTCGAACCAGTCACCAATGACTCCAGCTCGCATCGCTTACACATCAGGCAGAACCCCAAGCACCACTCCTGAGTCAATGCGATCAACCATACAAGAATCTTCAGTAGCCAACCTAACTGTGCCTGGAAGTTCTACTGGTACCAAATCATTCACCAGAACCCCAAACACCAGTGTTATCTCCACTCCAGGATCAGTGCAATCGAAGCAGAGCTCTTCAGCTGCTAACCCAAAGCCAGCTGCTACTAAAACAAAGGGAACCCGTGAGCCCAAGAGAGGTCTTCATTTTCAAAGTGCCATTGCAGACAACAGTGATGATGAAATGGAGGAGGAGGTGGAGGGGGAACAAATCCTTGAGGATGCTGATGCTTTTAGTAGTGATTGCTGTAAAGAACAGAGGATGGAGATAAAAGCGTTAAGAAAGCGGCTGGAGAAAGTGCACAAGAGACTCAACATAGCATGTAAGTTTCCACTTTCTGAGTTTGAAAGCTCCATGTTTTCAGCTGCACACCAACACACATGTACATCTACATGTAGGCTATTGCATTGAAATGGGGGAAACTAGAACAGGGATGTACAGTTGGAGCTAATTACAGTGGATTCAGGTTGAGCGTTCAACTGTGTCAGTTGTTGCGTTCCTTGTCACATTGATTTGAGAACAACAGAACATTGTCTTTCCTGCCCAGCAACGTCTGACATTTTGCCTCACAACAGAATCAAATCAATGTGACAAGGAACGCAACAACTGACACAGTTAAATGCTGAACCTGTATCCGCCTCTCTTGTCATAGACAGAAATTCAGCAATAATAGGGGTGCTCAATAATCATACACTGTACACATTAATATAGGTTGTCTGTATCTGGAAAAATCATGCTAACAGCAGGGTATGTCCCTCAACTTTTAGTTATTATCTACATTCCTGCTAAAAATAGTCTATGGTACCATTTGGAGATGATACTCAATAGAATTTAGTGAAGTAAGGAGTTAATTCTGTTTTAAAAACATGAAGTATGATCAGCTTAAACAGAGTGATAACAGCAGATTATTTTCTTTAATACTGCAGTAAAATCAAAGACATCTGCAGAAGTTATAAACAACAGACCAGGAGCTGGAGTAGTGGACAGCACATTGGCTGCTGAATACAAGGTATTACTGACAATATTATATAACGTTATGTTTTTTCATTGAGTTATATTTGCGTGGTGTATTGTTTATTTATTTGTTCGTTAATTAGGCATTCTTCGTACCCATAACTTGATTTTTTTTGTACGCTGTTTCAGTGCAAACGACCAACAATGAACATGTAGAGGTCACAAACAGACTAAAATATAACTTAGTATACGTTTTTTTTATTTACAGATGGTAGAGGTCATGGAGGGATCCAGTGTCTTCTGGTACCCTCACCAACGGGCCTACTGTTCTG